ACTGTCAGCATTACAGTGATGTGTCTGTATCTTCTACCTCAGATCCAGTGGAGGCTCCAGTCCTGACTCACCAGCTAAGCAGAGACACCTGCAGCATCACTCTCACCTGTAGAGGTCATGACCTCTCTATCAACTCCAGCTGTTACAAGGAAACCCGCAAGAAGAAGGAAGTGACATCACCTGGAGACGTCTCCCTTTCCCTGTCTGTCAGTGGCAGCACCATCATCTGTAACCATAGCAACCCAGCCAGCTGGAAGACGAATGTTTTGGAGATGAGAGAACTTAAATGACTCTGTGCTGATGAAGGTGAAGGTATGAACATAGATACATACAGACACAAACACAAATTAGTTGTGTATTTCATTATAATACAGCAAATCACAGTTTTGCCTCTAATATTATGAAACGTAAAGTCAATTTCAAGTGTTCCAGTGTGAAAACTCAACATGAAATGTGGTTAACTGCTTAGTAACATTATTATTAATTCCAGTGTGTCAGCGATTTTGTAAGAGATGAGACTCACTAAGTTACTGATATCCCCTGTCTCTGATACCCACTGTTGAAACACATGTACAAGTATCACACAAGACAAACAGCAGGTGTTGCTACACACCTAATTAAATGAAGCAAAATGATCTACCCTTATAGTAAGGCTAACATAATGGAAAAATGCAGTAAATGCATTAATTAAACAGTCATGGGTCTTAAGGAAACAACAAAAGCTCTAATAACAGATGCAGAAACACAGTGGTGAGTATTTACTGTGTATTTATTAAAGTTGGAAATTCTCACCTTCCAGTATAATCAGTGTTATTTAGTTCTATTTAACTCTATCAGTAACTGGGTAACTGTAGATATTTGTGAGTGTGTGTGCAAGTAGAAATCAGCTAAGTGTTTGGTCTGTTATTCTGCTACATACAGTGCTGTGAAAAATGGTTTGCCCCCTTCCAAATTACTTTTATTTTTGCATATTTGTCACACTCGAATGTATTAGATGTGAAATAAGGTAATTGAAGTCTACCAGTCTGGAAAGGGTTACAAAGCCATTGCTAAGGCTCTGAGACTCCAGTGAACCACAGTGAAAGCCATTATCCACAAATGGAAATCTGGTGGAACAGTGGTGAACCTACCCAGGAGTGGCCGGCCTACCAAATTTTCACCAAGGGCGCATCGACGACTCATCCAGGAGGTCACAAAAGAACCCAGACAAACATCTAAAGGACTGCAGGCCTCACTTGACTCAGTTAAGGTCAATTTACATTATCCCACAATAAGAAAGACAAAAATGACATCCATGGGAGAGTCACAAGGTACAAACTACTGCTGACCACAAAGAATACAAAGGATCGTCTTGCCAGAAAACATCTAGGTGGACAGTTGCCAAATGCTCAAGCGCAACTGGGTTATGCAGCAGGACAATAATCCAAAGTACACAATGAAGTCTACCTCTGAATGGCTCAAGAGAAACAAAATTAAGGTTTTGGAGTGACTGAGTCAAAGCGCTGACTTGAATCCCATTGAGATGCTGTGGCAAGACCTTAAACAGGCAGTTCATGCCTGGAAACCCTCCAATGTAGCAGAGTTATAACATTTCTGCAAATAAGAGTGGGCCAAATTCCTTTACAGCAATGTAAGACTCATCACAATTTATCGCAAACGTTCAATTGCAGTTGTTACTGCCAAGGGTGGTACAACCAGTGATTAGGTTTAGGGCCAATTATTTTTTCGCATGGGTGATATAAGTTTTGAATAAATCTTTGTTTTCAGTAAGTTGAATAATAATTTAAAAGCTGCATTTTGTGTTTACTTGTGTTGTTTTTATCTTATATTAAAATCAATTGGGTCATCTGAAACATTTAAATGTGACATATTAACAAAAATAGAAGAAATCAGATGGGGTCAAATACCTTTTCACAGCACTGTAGATTCAGTAACTATGTTAATTTAGAGCTATCTAGAGAGCTTAGTTACATAAATATGTCTTCATGGATTCATTTATGAGACAGCAGAACATACAGCATATCAGATTTATGAATCAAATTATCAAAGGCAGAATCTGCTCTTCTTTGTCATCACAGGAGGTAGATTCCATCATACAGTGGATGTTCAGGTGGAATAAATGCAGGAAAAATACAGTTTCTGTTCAGAACAAACCCAAATCAATATATATTTTGTTGGTAATCTCAGCTGTTGAATCACAAATCTGCTCTTCTGCATCTTCCTCCTGATTAAATTCCGCTGTAAACAGTGAGGCATTCTGACCTCCATCTCGAGTGATAGATGTTTTTCAGGAAAGGCTGATAAAATTACACAAAATATTTACATTTATTAAAGTTTCATTAAATACTCACACAGCCATATACACTAGAAGTCAATTTTTTACTCAAATAAAAACTAGCAGTGCATGTGCTCCACTAGCTCAATTATTAACGTGCATGTATAATTACAGTGTTATGCAAAAGTGTAGGCACCCCTGTTTCTAACTGAAATTAACATATCCTCCACAGAGAACACATCTCTGCATGCTTTGATGTACAATTGTTGTTTGTTGAATTTAACACATTAGAAACAAAATAAATATAAAATGTGGCCTGTAAAAAAGTTATGGCACATTGTAGATTACGTTAAACTCAGCAAATAAACAGCAATCATCCCTTAAAATGTGCAGAAAAATACTTTATTTAAAATTTTTCCCTGTACCTATAAATGATGTGTTCATTTCACTTAGAAAATCAACAAAACATGTTGGTGTTTAAACTTTGCATATGACTGTTTGTTAAATGTGCAATTTTTCAAAGATATAGACTTTTACTTTGAAAATGGCTTAAATACTATGTTTACGTGAACAGGATAAAGAATAAACTGAAGTGTGAAACTGTTCTTTTCTTAGTTCTTTTCTTAGTTCTTTTCTATTTGGTTGTCATATTCAATCCAACGGTGGGTTTTTGTTGTGTGTGTTTCACGTTCAGTGTCTCCCTCTGCTGGTGTATTAGTGTGTTTGCTGAAGACTGTGCTGTATTCCATCATGCTGATCCTCATGCTGTCTGCAGTCATCACTGTCCACATCAGAGAAAGACTGACCAAATCATCTTAAAGACATGGACGGTGTTACACAGTTTATTATAGCTAATATAGTTACTTTATACTACTTATAATCTACTCTACTGTATAGCTGTACCAAACAGGCTGTCATCACTTACTGTTTTTTTTTACTTTACCATCACTGTTGTAGCTTCTCAGAAGTCAGTTGATTAAAAGTATTAGAATTTTGTATCTTTTGTAAGTTAATTTTATGCATTTGTAAATACTGTTTATGCATATAACCTGCATATCACCTGCCTGTAAGGCACTTTGAGCTTCCACCGGTATGAACGGTATGAAAACTGCCCTATAAATAAAGTTGTTGTTGTTGTTGTTGTTGTTGTTGTTGTTGTTGTTATTATTATTATTATTATTATTATATTTTTCAAATATCGCTAAGGATACTCCTGCTCTTCTCTTGACACCTGTTCAGTGATGCCCCAGAGCAGTGTTTTCAGTGAGTGCTCAAGTGGGCTTTTAAGTGGGCTTCAGTGTATAAGCAATGTGATATTGAAATTGAAATTCTTAAAGAAGTGCTTGCAGTAATTATTACTGTAATGGTAGAACTCAGGCTACTTATAAAATGATTTCTGCAGTAGCCATCACAACTCGACGAGTGTGGCGAGTCGTCTGCTGTTTATGCTGCAGTCAACCCAGGGTCCACAGCTGCTGCCAATTTTTCCGGCTAGAAAATTCTAGGTTCTGTTTCCCCACTGGCTTAGGCTCTCAGCATTGTCTGGCATGGTGTCTTCCTGCAGCGCCAGCACACTAGGCACTTAGCCGCTGGTGCTCGCTCAGGGGCTGCTCTGCTGACTGCTGAAGTACTTCCATGGCTTCTCTTTCACCAGCTTGTCTTTCGCAGTTGAGCCTCGTGGCACATTGAGCCTACCTACGCTATTCCTTTCGGGTCTTTGACCGGGCTCTGCCTCCTTTGTCGCCTGCCTCGAAATTCATCTAAGTACTGTTCCACTCCTTGGTGACATCAAATGTAGCATCTTGGCAAAGAAGAAGACAATGGAGAGGCCATGATTTCTGCTTTGAGAAATGCACTTTATTGACATCACAAAAAAGGCACATACATCACAGGGAAACCATAAAACCCCCGCACATACACAAGCACACTTTTAACTAATGAACACCAACATAAACAGTAAAAACAACAATACCTCTAGAGCCTCTTCTGAACCAGAGCACATGGCAGCTTCCACAATATATATATATATATATATATGAGTATTTTCAAAGCCTTTTTGTGTTTTTCAGTAAAGTATTACAGAATCCTTTAAAGCATGGTATGTTATTATCTAGATAAGTCATTTCAATTTTAGGCCTTTAAAAAAAAACACACAGAATACAGCATAATCCTTTTTGTTAAAGTAAAGGTGCAGAACAGACAAAAAGCTAATGAAGACCAGCCAGACCAACCACAGAGGAAATTAAACAGGAACTGACAGGCATTAAAAATAGTGCCTTAATGCCTCAGGCGCATCATTAAAACATAATATGAAGACACAGTGATGCTTTACAGTTCGGTTAATTAATTGAATGAGCAATGAAAGTGATTAATTTTACAGAAATAAACTCTGTGAAATCTGTTGTTATCAGACCTAATGTGCTCAGTGCTGTTAATATAAAGAGGCTGTGGGCCCCATCTTTGTATTTAGGTCTTAATAACCAAGTAAACTGTATTAAATTTCTTCTTTTAATGTAGAATATTGTCATTTTGTACATATACATTCTGCATTAACATGGCCATGTTAGTGAGCCTCTCTGAGGCAGTAAGGAGGTCTTTCAGAATTTCTTCTATTGGAAAATTGAACATCAGCACGTTTGTAAAGCTCGCTGAGGCAGTCCGGAAGTCTTTAGAACTTCCTCCTTCACTGTTAAAAAGGAAGTTTATCACACCCTGCAATGGCGAAGATGATACAGTTCATTTTTGTTCTCTCCACCCTGATCTCAATCACAGGTAAACAATTCTCTAAACTTCATCACTATAGAGGTTAAAATGTATGATAATGTATAATTTTTGAGTCTGTCTATCAAATAAAGACTCAACTCAAAGTCACAAGAAACTGAAGAGAGGGAAATTTATAGAGCGTAAGATGAAGAGGAAGAAAACATTTCCGGTGTGGTCGTTGACCCAAACTTAAATTATTTTATGACTCAATTCTTTTCTTCTTATCACATTATTTGAACAACTAAATTTGTCAAACTAGGCTATATACTATTTAACATATGTGTTACATGCACAGCAAGGTTTTCACATTTAGTCCTCCTACTCTATTGCTCGCTCTGCTAGAACAGTTCCAGGCTAAACATAAATTTACTGTTTGCTAAGACTTTAAACTAGCATTACATGTAATTAAATAAATGTTGTAATTAGCTTTACTGCATTATCACTCCTCCTAAACACTGGAAATACTTTTCATTGCAATTAAATAAATGAAGCTAGAGTGAGAGGAAACATGCACTCAGAGACTTCCATTTTTATATAATATTCTCTTTCAATTTACACATATTAGGTTTTTCAACTTAATATGAGCAAAAATGTATGAATATGGAAAAAAAAAAGATTTGAAAAAAAAATCTTTTTTTAAAAAAAGACAAGAATAAAGGTACACAAACTCTACATTAAAAATACATGGTCATGTGCAGAAGCTGGAAGACTCCCAGTTAAATTATATGCTTTATAGATTTTCTAAATTAAAACAAGTTAACACATACTCTCTAGAGAAGACACTCAAATGTAGAATTTTTCTGTTCATTTTGTCACATGTTTAGTCACTGAATTTAACATACAGTATTAGAAATATAAAATAGGCCATAACCTTTGCCCAGGACATATTTTATGTTTTATTTTTGTTCAAATTCAAGAAAATAAACAGTAAATGTGCATTAAACTGTGCAGATATGTGCTCTCTGTAAAGGATGTGTTAACTTATTTTCACTTAGAAAATCAACAACACGTCATTTGACCAGGGCGCCTAAACTTTTGCATTCGACCGTAAATTAAATAACAAAAATAAAAGTGTCTATGTCTTAACATACAGTATAAAGGTTTATAAATTAGTTATTAACATGCAACACAGTGCTAAATTATGGCATAGCAATCACAAACAAAAGATTTATGTTTTCTAATCTTTTTTCTCTCTCTCTACAGAGCCCAGTAACGTGTTCGGATTGGTTAACAGTTCTGTTAAACTGGACATACAGCATCCTGTAACAAAGAAGGATGACTTATTCTGGGTGTTTAACGAAACCAAAAATGTTTTAAAATATAATAAAAAATATAATGATATTACACCCTCTACATTTTATGAAGGCAGAGTGGAGTTCAATAAGGAAACCTACAGTCTGACACTGAAGAACTTACAGAAGACTGATAGTGGACTGTATAAAGCAAAAGCGTCTGGTGATGTGGACAGAGTTGTTGCTGAGTACAGACTCTCTGTGTTGGGTAAGTCTTATAGACAATCAGTCAGTGAGAATAAACATGCAGTCCTGACACAACACTGCTGTTATTAACCATGCAAAATACTGAGATTTTCTAAAGACTAAAAATGCAAGGTGTACTGTCCTGTAAGCCACTTTACCACTTCAAGTTGAAGTTTTTAACAAAGCACTGCTCAGAAAGATTAGTAACCAGATTGTATAAAAGTTTCAAAATGCATTCACTCATCTGTCCACATAAACTAAGCTGCAAAAGCAATGTTTTCGCCCCACTCATTCACACTGAAGTTATAAGAAGTGCTTCAGCCAGACTGACTTTTTGAACAGGCACAACACAGAGCAGCCAATCAGAACAGAGAACGCTTACATATATCTGTCTTAATGGCACAGTAAAAAGTAAAAATCAGCCTGTTGAATTCTAAAGAATAAAGAAAGGCTGGAAAATGGCCATGTGAAAATTAATTATAAGTGCTTTAAGTGAACCTCAAGAAAATGCAAGAAACAGGATATGAGCCCTTTAAGATATTTCTGCTGGATAGATATCATGTGGTAACAGATATATCATTGTAATTATTCATCTTTCATGTAACTGCCTTCCATCCTGATGCTTCACATTTTGTTTTCTGTTTCTTCATCATCTGAGCTTTCCTCATCCTCACTCTCTTTTTGTTAAATCAATGTTGAGTTACAGTGAGGCCTTTTTGGGGGGTTTTCTGTTTTTCTGTTCAGTGCTGCTGATTTGTGATTAACTGTTTCTTGTCAGTGTTTGTGAGTGCTGTTAGCTGACAGCATGATTTCCTTATTATGCAGCCACTGGATCTCAAATCTGCTCAGCAAACACTAAACTTAGTATCTGAAATCAAGCTCAACAGTCCAAAGTCAAAAGCCAGATCACGAAAGCAGTAACCATGAGGGAGGTCCAAAAAACAAAGCCCAAAATCCAGAAAAAAAAGTTAAACCACAATGTTGAGAGAACAATGCAATGGTCATGCATAAAAAAGCAAACAAACTGACAACTTTGCCTCTGTAAACAAAGGCAATACTTTGCAAAGGTCCAATGCTAAAGCCCAGGTTTATATATTAAATTAATAGGTCACAAGAAACAACAGACAGGTGAGCTGAATTAGTAATCAGGTGAGGCTGAACGGTGGAGCGTCATGTGAGGGAAATCTGCGGTCATGTGATCAGGTGGGGTGTTGTGGGAAATGCCTGGAGACTGGGGATTAGTGTCAGAGGGAATGGAGGGAAGCGTGACGTGGCTTATTGTTATGGAAATCAGCCACCAACGCTGAATCCAGCACTAGTTTCCACTGGGCCATATCCCTCCCAATCAATGAGGTACTGAGGTCCCCCTCCATGCCTCCTGGAGTCCAGCACCTCATAAACAGCATATATTCTCCATGATGACAGCCAGCTTGCTCCTTGCTCTGCTGGAGAGCTGTCTTGATTCTACAGTGAGTCTCTTCCTAGACCTCCTCCTTCAGCCTCATGCAGTCATCAATGGCAGGAACATCTGAGGGTGTGGCGGTCCTTGGTGCCAAAGGAGGCTGATAACGCAAAACACTCTGGTATGGGGTGAATCCTGTGGCTAAACATGCAAGAGAGTTCGGGGCCTTCTCAGCCCATACAAGATATTTAAACTAGTCTGACTGATTGTTATGACAAAGTTCAGAAATTGTCCAAGTTCTTGGTTAACCTCTCGCTTTGTCCATTAGACTGAGGATAATAACTGAATGTGAGACTATAGATTCCAGACTATTGAAAAGAATTAGAATGTCTTCTGGTATACCATAATTTCTAAATAAGTGGTTATAAGTGGCTTGAACTCTCTGAAAAGTATCAGGAATAGTAGGAAAAAGTACAAACCTGACACTGTGGGAAAATCTGTCAATGATAGTTAAAATGGTAGTATGACCCTCTGATGGTGGGAGATCAGTAACAAAGTTAATGGTGAAGAAATGTTAAACTGAAAGCATGAGAAGAAGAGTAACCAACGAGCTTGGCAGGGATTAAGGCGTTTAGCTGACCATACATATTCTAAGTTCTTGTGATCTGTGAGAATTAAAAATGGCAGTGCCACCATTCCTCTAACGCTAATTTACTGCTAGTAGTTCTCTGTCTCCTATATCGTAGTTATGTTCTGCAGGTGGGAGTTTGTGTGAAAAGAAAGCTATGGGATGAAGTTTAGGGAGGGCCCCGCTACACTGGGACAGAACTGCACCGTCTCCTGATTCTGATCCATCTACCTCTACTATAAAAGGCAAAGATGGGTCAGGGTGTCTGAGAATGGGGGACAGTAGTGAAGGCTGTTTTGAGTGCATTGAATGCTTCCTCTGCATTGGGACTCCAAACTAATTCCTTAGGGCCTCCTTTAAGAAGAGCGGTAAAGGGAGCGGCAATGGAAATTGAGTTCCTAATGAACCTTCCATAAAAGTTTCCAAAACCTAGACATTTCTGAAGTTCTTTTACAGACATGGGGACAGGCCAGTTAACCACAGCCTCTACTCTGTGGTCATCCATGACAATCCCTGTGGTACTAATTACATAACCCAGGAAAGAGACTGTCTGCAGATGGAATTCACACTTTTCTCCTTTTACAAAAAGTTGATTGTCCACTAACCTTTGAAGTACTTGACAAACGTGCAGAATGTGAATGTCTAGATCAGGGGAATACACCAGGATCTCATCTGTATAAGCTATAACAAAGTTCCCTAACATGCAGCCACAGAGTGATTACCTTGACGTATTTTCAATAACAGCTCCCTATTAATGTGACCCTCACGAGGGTGGTCAAAAACAGTGTGGAATTTTGTTAGAAACTGTTTATATGTCTTATCTCCCAACTGCTGTAGCCCAGTCCAAAGCCTTGTCAGACAAACGAGAAACCAAAAAAGAATTACTGAAGAACGCAGAGCACTGTAACAAAAATCTGCTACATTTCTCGGATGATCAATTGAATTTATCGGGTGCTAAGACCAGTGTTGGAACTGGTAGACTGGGGAGCATTACCAGTCAGATGTTGAATCTGTCCAAAAGACAAAGCCCAAAATCCAGAAAAAAAGGTTAAATCATAAACTCACAACAATACTGAGTGGGCTACGTAAAAGGCAAGGTCAAAAATAAACAAGGCAATAGTCATACACAGAAAATCAAACAAACTGACAAGAAGGCTCAGTAAGGTTATGTAAACAAATGCAATACTTTGCAAAGGTCCTATGCTAAAGCTCAGGCTTATATACTAAACTAACAGGTCACAAGAAACAAGGAACAGGTGAGGCTGAACGGTGGAGAGTCATGTGAGGGAAATATGCGGTCCTGTGATCAGATGGAAAGTAGTGACTGGAATGGCACTGGAGGGAAGTGTGACACAAATATGAATTGAATAATGAAATGAATTTGTTTTATGCTAAATACCCATGGGATACATTTAAAGCTGTATGTTTTAATTTCATAACTTTCAAATACTTAAACACTGAAATGTAAACACATTTTGCAATTAGGAATTTTTTTCACTTCCCTTTAACCATTTCTCTGGAGATATTTTACACAGCTCACTTAGCTCACTTAGAGTAAAGCCTTAAAGTTAATTTAAGATTTCATGTTATAAGGAGTTAATGGTTTTAAACAAGTAAGCACAGATGTTAAGCCTGATTAAAAGTTTCCACTGATTTTTCAAAATTCCTACATAATTAAGTGGCTGAGATGTAAACAAAATCATTGAGTGGTTTAATGTAAAATGGTTTATTGTAGAGAAACTTAGTCACTTTCTTTACAGTGGTGGTGATAGGACCACGGGATCAACATGAATATCGTCATTTTATTTACTATCCAAAATGACAAATGAACCTACACTTGTCTTGTGAATGCTGATAATGGTAAGATATTAGTACATCTGAAAAAAAGGTTTTCTGGGATGTTCTGGGTGTCCTGAGTGGTCACAAGACCCCAGGTTTACATTTTTTCTCTACCTATTGGTTTCTGAGGTCTAATATTAACACCCTCACCAACATCCAGATGGATCTCAGCTACTCTGAAAGATACTGACCAGTTCTGAAAGACTTTTACTGATCTGTGATCTGTGATGAGTGATTTATCATTGACTGACTGTCAGCATTACAGTGATGTGTCTGTATATCTTCTACCTCAGATCCAGTGGAGGCTCCAGACCTGACTCACCAGCTAAGCAGAGACACCTGTAACATCACTCTCACCTGTAGAGGTCATGACCTCTCTATCAACTCCAGCTGTTACAAGGAAACCTGCGAGAAGAAGGAAGTGACATCACCTGAAAACATCACCCTTTCCCTGTCTGTCAGTGGCAGCACCATCATCTGTAACCATAGCAACCCAGCCAGCTGGAAGACAGATGTTTTGGAGATGAGAGAACTTAAACGACACTGTGCTGATGAAGGTGAAAGTGTGAACACAGACACACACAGACACAAACACTGCTGAGAATCAGCATCTTACTCCTGATTAAATGTTGCAGCAAAGAGTGAGACATTTTCACTGATCTTCTCAAATGATAAATTAATTTTAGAGAAGATTAATGATTAAGATAACAGAAATACAATTTTCTTAAATTCATGCTCATGCAGCTATTTACACCAGATGCCAATTGTTTATGTTAATACAATTTTTTGAAATAGAAAAATATGACATTTCAAGTGATGGTCATATAGAATAGACTGCAACAAGTTAGTCAGTTAGTTAGTTAGTAAGTTAGTCTTTTCTATTTGGTCATCATATTTAACACAACAGTGGTTTTTGTTGTGTGTTTCAGGTTCAGTTTCTCCCTCTGCTGGTGAACCTGTGTGTTTGCTGAAGACTGCACTGTATTCCATCAGTCTAATTCTCATGCTCTGCAATTTATTATAGCTACTATATATATATGCCTCGTATCTCGGAACCAGAACCAAACATATGTCAAAGTCATTTTAGGTCATTTCTTTTGGTCTATTCATCATGAAATTTACGTGCAATTCAAAGAGCAACAGGCATTTTCAAATTATGTCAAAAACTGAAAAAGGTCAAAAGTGGAGGTTTTGTCAAAAGAGGTTTTCTACATTAAAACCTAAATACCGCACAAAGTACCAAGCAACAGCCAGAAAAAAACAGCTGTTTGATCAAATTGGCACACAGTAAATCTGTCACTTTTGTAGTTTGTATTAAGCACAGTTAGCATGACTTAAACACAATACCCATCCACTTACAACAGACACAGACAACGCTTTCTCCCTGCACCAGGTCTGCACCTTCAGCTTTGTCAGTCTCCTTTAGCTTCTTTCTCTCCTTCTCCTAACCTGTATTTAATAATACTGTGGCACTGGTGCACAACAAAACACAGGAAACATTGCCCTTACAGTTCTTTTATTGAACAGACAGCAAAAGGAAAACTCCACTTCATGGTAGACATTTTAATCCACTCAATTAAACCTACAACCCGACACAGCATCACAGAAATAATACATTAACACATCTACAACTTACAATCAACAAACATAGCCCTTTCTGTTGAGCCCCTAAGGCAGTGCAGCCTGTGGTAAATGCCACAATACATTTTTTTTTAAATTAAATTTACATGAACTCAATCAATGCGATAACGTTATTTCTGTCTCTGTCATTCATTCACACATTCACAGTCTCACTATGAAGTGAAGTAAACTAGTTGGCTTGTCAGCTAGCTAGCTAATGTGAGTGTTATCCAAACCACTTTTCTTTCCTTCATTTAAATCTAAAGTTACCTAGCTAGCTAATTGAGTAAAAACCTGACAGCTATACTCACCATAATTTGCTTCAAATCCATATTGTAGGTGGATATTCACTTTGTAACTACTGTTTCACTCTGTATATTCTGGACTTTGAATAAAGCCTAATGTTTGTTTAGGGAAGCCTTTCCCCAGAATCCTGACTTTAGCTTAAGTAATTGCCAGTTTACATTAATTTGCAGAGCAAATTCCCCAGGCCTGATAGAATTGGCTTACAACTTATGACATCTGATATGATTGGCTGATCCAGGGTTCCACTTTTCATGTTATGTATACAGAAATCTGGTAGCACAGCAGAGGCAGTGCTGCCATACAGCATATATTGTGATTTAAATTTAAATTAGTAATACACAATTATTTGGAGAAGGGGGCCCCCCTAAAACTGGCTTAGCAACACCTGTGTTGTTTAGTAGGTTCTTTAGTTTTTCCCAAAATGAAACAAACACACATTAGGGTCTCTGTTTCCATGAACAACATTTCCTACAACAAACGCTGCATCTACAAGGCAACCAGCTTTGTGGATGACTCCTCCCACCTCTCTTCTAAACTTTTCATCCTCCTGCAGGTAGCAGGTACTTCTCTCACAGAAGGTACCAGAGCATCTGTTACATCATCTCCAGACTCTGCAACAGCTTTTTCCCCAAGGCGGTCAGATAACTTAAACGCATTATACCTTTGCATCTTTTGTGTAATATTATCAGGCCCAATATTTTATTATTTTTTTATTTCTCTATTTATTGGTGCTGAATCTATGATTTTCTCTTCTTGTCATATCTTCCCTATCAGAAAAACTGAAACAATATCCATAAAAACCAGTTGAAAAACAGACCTGAGATGTGTTCAGTACAATGCTGTTTTTCAAGCTTCAGATAAAAAGTGTTTCAGATGGGTAACAAACTCTATGAAAAATAGGCAAGGTTTCTGTTATTCAGCAACCAAGCAGAAGTATCTAACACTCTGGTTAAATAGTGAAGCACAAAAATTACTGTAAGGCTGTTTTCACACGTTAATTTGTTAAAGTTTGAGTTTTTGTGACATTATATCTCTTTAATTTGATTCAGTTGATTTCATTTTCTCATAAAATTGCATTTCCACCCAGGTGGAAAATAATTATTTGAAAAATAAAAAACATTAGGTAAATTATACATTTTTCAAATAATTATATAATTTATACAAACACACATTTTCTAAACCGCTTATCCTTCTGGGTCATGTGGGGTGCTGGACACACCCTGGACAGGTTGCCAGTCCATCTCAGGGCAGACAGACATATACATACACACACACAATCACACCTAGGGGCAATTTAGTGAGTCCAATTAGCCTGACTGCATGCCTTTGGCAGTGTTGGGGGTAATGCGTTACAAAGCGTTACAAAGTAACGCATTGCAGTAATATGATTACTTTTTTTGCAATGCATTACAGTTAAATATTTTGTAATCACATTACAGTTACTAACTTTATAAAAAAAAACTGTTATTTGCGTTACTCATGTTTTTCTACAAAAATATTATTTTAATACACAAAATATAAAGCATTTCCAAGCGTTTCTGTTTTATGATAATTTGTGGATGGCACAGATGGTTGTGTGACCGTGAATGTGAGGAGCACAGCACGCACAGTTTGGCAACTATGGCAGAGGATAAGAATGGATGTTTCCACAAATGGAGATATTCTCATTATTTTGTACACATTATTTTGTATACATTATTATATTTGTTTCACGCAAGGACAAGAACAGTACTGTGAAGTGTAGCTATGACCAAACCAAAAGGACCTTTCAACTGCTAAAAACGTACTTAATCAGAGTGCAAGCTAAAACTTGTTGCTAAAGACCCCTGTCCCGAAGGAGAGAGTGCCCCAACAACCAAACAAGCGGATGCCAATTAAGCGCCAGGAATGAAGGTAACTCCTTCATTCCACTATAGCAAGATACATAGTCAAGGAAATGCTACCACTGTCTAATGGAGGGACGCCATCATGTAGACCAGGAGTTGGCAACCCACCTTAAAAGGTGCATGAGGTGGCGGAAAGTAACTGCCGTGTTAGAATGTTCAGCGGAGCTTTATTTTACTGCAAAGGAGGATTATTTTATTTTTACCTAATCTAATTCTGCTGTGGAGCCACAACAGGGCAGTAGAAGAGCTGCATGTTGCCGACCCCTGATTAGACAAATACTGAACAAGATACCAGTCACAGGCAAAAGTGTACCGCCATCAGACCGAAAAACATTTGCAAGCTATTTGGTTACTTCAGTTCTTATACTTGCCTGTCCACATGCTTGAAATATAGGTTTTGTTTTGTTGTTCCACTAAAGAAGCTTTTGTTGGACTATATTTTTCTATTGCTAAAATAGTTACTTACTTGTTAAATAAAAATAGTAACACCAAGTATAGTGAAATTCTTTGTATACATGTTGTACATGGTATATTTTGTTCCTAAATAAACTATGGAAAGAACTATTGTCTATCATTTTTGTACTTTTCAGATATGTTTGTAGATTTGATTCCAGTATATTTTGTATCGGTTTTAGAATGTAACTTAAAAGTAATGAGGCTTGAGATTACATTTCCCAAAAAGTAATGAGTGAAGTAATTACATTGCAATTGTGGTTAAGTAAGGAGTAATTGGTAATGGATTTCTTTTTTTGAGTAACTACCCCAACACTGGTCTTTGGACTGTGGGAGAAAACCGGAGCACCCAAAGGAACCCCACGCAGGCACAGAGAGAACCCCAGCCACCCAGCCGGGGAACCAAACCCAGGCCCTTCTGGCTATGAGGCGACAACGCTACCCACTGAAAATGGCAAAATAATATTTTTGCTTAATGTATGTTAGTGTAGGATTACATTTTGAAATGAAACATCATATTAGAAATGCCCATGTTTTTGTTTTTCATATGGACATCAGCAGGGGACTAAGGCAGGGTTCAGTTCTTTGGAGAGAACCTGAGTCCAGGTGGCGTGTTCACACCTAACAAAATGGACTGAACTAAAGACAAAGTTCAATAGGTCCAAACAAGGTAGGTGTGACAGCGCCCTTAAAAATGAACCACAGGGCTTGGTGAAGGAGGGGGAAGTCCAAGGGAGAAATAGAGAAAGAGGAAGAGAAAGCCTTTAACTGCTAAACATGAACGAACAAAACTGCCAGTGTGAGTAGTGTGGAGACGCCGTAGAGTCATGGAGTTATTACAATGAATTTAATAACTGTCTACTTCCAGTGAATTTGTTGTTAAGGTGTTTAGAGTACTTCAGACCTGCTAATGTGTTTGCTTGTTTTATGACCACAGAGAAAGAGAGAGAGAGAGGCTGACATCAAAGAATTCCTAATACACAACTTAACTTGACAATGCTATTGCCATTGTTATAGCTTCCCCTTTCTTTTCATATATGCTCGTTTGTCACATATTGTGACAAGTGCCTTTGTCAAAGGTTCTTGAAGCGTATCAGTCTTCATAATAACAGTAACACTCTAAAATTGGTAGGAGGAGTAACTTATCACCCTGCTCTCACAGCTGTGCCAGGAAGTAGTATATTTCTTTAACCTTAGGCCTTACTTTGCTAAGACGATAAAGGTAACAATATCATAATTGCAGTATTCATATTCTATATATTATATTTACTTCATTTATCTACACAAGAACTCCCCTGATATGTCACACATTACTAGAAGCTGAACAAAATAAAATGGAACGTCTGACTCAGTCGCTTCACACCCACACTTTTCCAAAATTAGCTGAAGCTCTGATCAAAAAGCAGCTACCTTCAGTTTTATCTCTAAAAGAGGCTGTAGAACAGGGTCAGTAAGTGGATGTATTTAGTGACAGATGGGGTCCTTAAAACAAGTAATTTCCATGGAAAAAGGTATATATATATATATATATATATATATATATATATATATAACTTCTGATAGTTGTCTCTGCGATAAAAGTCCCAGTCGTACCTCCCCCAAACTGAACCACCTTTTCTAGCTCTTTAAATCAGCTCCAGCAATGTAAAGCTAATGTTAGAATTAAACCATCACTTCAGACTTGAGAGATGGTTGAGTGGTTTTCTGTTCATGGGCTGTATGTAAGGATGTGGTTTTTAAGAGTTCAGAAGCAGCTTATCTTGAAGACAGGCATTTAAAACATGAGCTAAGTTTTTTTCCTTACATTCTGGTATGGAGTGGAGTTTATTGCAGCTCAAATCTACTCACTAATATTGCTGACTCTGGGGCCTGTAGCCTAAACTGAGCAGCTACTGGAACTAGACTAAAGCATGCTGACTTAAGCCAGGGTTACACTGCACAACATTTTCCCCGATTTCAGCCCTGATGCTCAGTCTGGCTATCCTGGTCGGTTCTAGTCTGCAGATTTTGGTTCAGTCAGAGTCGACAGTTGGAGAGATAATTAAGTAGTGTGTGAACAGCAGAGACTCAGATTTTTGGCCTCCTGAACCTGTTTCAGGCCAGTCAGAGTAGACTATATTCTTGTGCTGATGCTGTTTCTACATTTAATCTCATGAAAGGAGAAAAGTTAAAAAAAAAAACCTTCTGAAACTTCCAAAGTCCGAACCTCTGTGTCCTCATAGCTAGTTACAGCCATGTTCATAGCACTCAGACAACTAGGCAATATCATATATAAACGTTACATCTGCAATGCAACTTGTGTATGCAGTCAAGTATATGTATGTATTATTTTGCTTTTTATTCACTTGTCTCGATTGATTTCATGGAGATACTCAAATGGCTACTTGACATAAATCTACTACCACAATTATCGCCACCTACTGGCAAAGAAAAATACCTGTAATTTTCAGCTGCAGCAACAGTAAAAGAGTTTCATTTGAAAATGGTGTGTATCCATTAATAAAAACATGGATATACGTTTTTTAAAAGAATCACAGTCATACATATAGGAAAACATAATTTTATTTATCTATCAATGGTGGAATACAACGATCAGGAATAACATTATAACCACCTCCTTGTTTCTACACTCATTGTCCATTTGATCAGCTCCACTTACTATATAGGTGCACTTTGTAGTTCTACAGTTACAGACTGTAGTCCATCTGTTTCTCTGCATACTTTGTTAGCCCCCTTTTACCCTCTTCTTCGGTGGTCAAGACCCCCCATGGACATTCACAGAGCAAGTACTATTTGGGTGGTGGATCATTCTCAGCACTGCAGTAACACTGACGTGGTGGTGGTGTGTTAGTGTGTGTTGTGCTGGTATGAGTGGATCAGACACATCAGTGCTGCTGGAGTTTTTAAACACTGTGTCCACTCACTGTCCACTCTATTAGACACTCCTACCTTGTCGGTCCACCTTGTAGATGTAAAGTCAGAGACGATAGCTCATCTGCTGCTGCACAGTTTGTGTTGGGCATCCTCTAGTCTTTATCAGAGGTCACAGGACGCTGTTGGCTGGATATTTTTGGTTGGTGGACTATTCTCAGTCCAGCAGTGACATTGAGGTGTTTAAAAACTCCAGCAGCACTGTGTGTGGGTGTGTGTGTGTGTGTGTGTGTGTGTGTGTGTGTGTGTGTGTGTGTGTGTTTTCATTCATTTCCCTTTTCTTTGTTCTAAGTTGTGCTTGATTGTTACCTCATGAACATCTGGATATCACTCATGCCAACCTCTTGGTGGTCACTTTCGCCAATTAAGATCAATAGACTGTTTGGTCTGTTAAAGATTTTATAAACAGTTTGTCATTGTGCCTCTGTGTCTGCGTGTCTAGGGCTTCCCACTCAGGCAATAGTGACCTACAATTTTTCATATTATTTAATTTCAAATATATCTAATATCATATGGTTTCTTTTACTTCATAGAAAAATATACTCAAGCTGAGCCTAAATAGCCTCATTTATGTTCTACAGAACTAAATGGTCTTTCAGTTCATCCCTGTTGTGCTTTACCAGCTTTAGCATAACAGTATAATGACATATTGTTTATATTATATATATTATACACAATTCATTACATTTTTTTAGTGTCTTTGTCAGAATTAAACTGTGTTAACAAAGTGTGTCTTGCTTTTTCATGTCTAGTTAACTATAGGGAAATTAGCCTGAATATACTTCATTGAACATACTTCCTTGGTTTAGAAACTTCCTCACACGATGGCGATGGTAGTGCAGCTTCTTTTTGTTCTCTTCAGTTTTGTCTCGATCGCAGGTAAAAAAAAAATTCTAAACTTTGTTACTGCATATCACATTGTACAGGTTCAACTATATTATTTCCAGTAATTATCTTTACCATAAGCTTGCTACAGTCATAGAGTGACACTTAAAATATAGATTATGAAGTCAGTAGGACTTTTTGTTTGTTTTGCTTTCATATACTAGCTAGAATACTTGTGCTTATGCCCTATGTGTCTTTTGAAACTCCTAAATAATATTTTGACTAAATGGTTCAACAAATCAGTTGCTTATATGTCTACATTCTCGTCTGTATTTTATAGTTCAGGCAAGTCTCCTTCTCTTATCGTACACTCTTAGTAAAGGCTTCTTACAAAATGTCTACGTACTTTGTTTGGCATTTAGCTCTGTTTTGTTCAAATGCAGTTAACTGGGGGTTTTGGTGTATATACTTGATTTTGTGGTGAACCATACTTTTAAAGGGACATTCAGACCTAAAACTAGGGTTTAATATGTTATTTGTCATGTTATGTAAAATTCTGTAGCATAGCACTGCATTGTATCCCACAGCCTCATCAGTGTAACACAGTCTCCCCTTGACGATAAATATATGTACTGATGTAGTTGCTAATAAATACTGACATGATATTAGGCTTTCTAGCAGTTTTGTTAGCTATATAAATTTTCATTTTGGCCAGAGTGCCCCTTCAAGTTGTTGAGTCCTCCTGTTGAGTCATTTGTTCATTCAGTGGTTTGCGACACCTCAGTTACAATTTAAAAAAGTATGTTTCTTATAATAACTGTCTGTCTTTATGTTCTTGTTCTTGTTAAAGAGGTTAAAAAGATGAATTTGACAGTAATTCTCTGTTATTTTTAAGGTATTGGGAAAGTGGCCATTAATTTGTACAGTCTTGAGCAGGCTGTTTCTGAATATTTCGGCACTGGGGGTTGCAGTTTGGCTAGTTTTGTCATGTATGAAAATAGTTCATAGATGACAAAGATGACACACTGAAACAGATATTGGATTACTGACAGTTTTGCAGGCTTAAAACTTGACAAAAAATGTACAGTATTGTTATAATGTTGCTACAGTTTAATGCTGTTGCAATTAATAGTGTGATCATACTGTTAGCTTTATTGGATCTCTGGATAACAAGACAATTTGATCCTAATACAGTATAAATAAATTCACCTATTGTGTAAAAGTGTTAGCCATACTGCTTGCAGTACATTCCTTTATAGTTTTTATGGGCAGTGCAGAAGTATTGTATGCTATAAATTTTTCCCTTCAAGTCAATTTTTCGGTTGCTTGCAAGAAAAGGTTTCCAATAGAAACACTTCAACTGAAGAGTTCATTTGCAAAAATGGTAAATGCCATCCTTTAAAAAATTAGCTGACTGTCATGAATTATTCTTAACACACAGTGCATTCTGAACCCTAAATACGTTTTTGTCACAACAGCTGCTATTGTCCATTGTCAAGGCATTGCAAGTTCATGATTTAGAGCAGAAATGGTCAAACGACAGCACTGTTCTCGACCAGAACCCAACAAATCTGTTCTGTGAATCAGCACAGTATCCGGGTCAGGTGATTTTGTTGAATTTCATGCTCAGGTTTTATCTGGAGACTAAGCAATGTTTGATAGGGCCACTGAAGACTCTACCATCTGGAATTCTTGGTTATTATAATTCGGCGTTGTTTGAGCTTACCAGAAATAAGGTTGTTAGAATGAATTGTTTTGAGGTTGTCTGAGGTCTTTTTAGCAGCAGGTAATATAGCCAGGAAATGGGGAGAAAGAGGGGTCCAACCACTTCCTTAATTTTCATTTTCTTTGCAAGAAGAGCAACATTAAAAGCATCAACAATGCCTCAAGTTACACCTCTGGCTACATCTCATACTTTTTTAGCTTCATATTTGTGTAGTTCCTGATAATTACCTTTTATCAACAGGACTGACTCTCTACTATGATATGAAAGAGAGAGAGAGAGAAAGAAAGATGCTGGGAAAATTTCATTAGAAAAACTTTTGTTTGGGCTTGCACATATATGATGATGCAATCCTGAAAGGTTTCGTCTCCATAAACTTTGTGTATGACACCAGAATGTTTCCAAACCTCTACGTTAATTACTGAAATGTATAACTAATTGCCAAAATAAAACAGGAAATACAATATATTTAATATGACAAAAACAAAAATACTAATTGCAAAATGTTATAAAATACAAAAAACAACTTGAGCACTGGTACATTACTTATTTTTGTTCTCTCTCTCTCTCTCTACAGAGCCCAGTAACGTGTTCAGATTGGTAAACAATTCTGTTCAACTGGACATACAGCATCTTGTAACAGAGAAAGATGACTTATTCTGGGTGTTGAATGAAACCAAAAATGTTCTAAAATATAATAAAAAACATAATGATATTACACCCTCTACATTTTATGAAGGCAGAGTGGAGTTCAATAAGGAAACCTACAGTCTGACACTGAAGAACTTACAGAAGACTGATAGTGGACTGTATAAAGCAAAAGCGTCTGGTGATGTGGACAGAGTTGTTGCTGAGTACAGACTCTCTGTGTTGGGTACGTCTTACAGTGTGAGATTCAGTGGTAGGAAAAAAGGCATTTCTAACACAAAACAGCTGCTATCAGTCAAAATCTTACATTCTTCTATCCTTTATTTACCCATGTACATAGAGTTTTATAAGTCTGCTGAGATCTAAGGTCTTCTCACCATAAGAGAAAACTTACCAGTGATGTTAATTCAAAGGACATATAATAATTGGAATAATTACTCCAAAAATGTGTATTGTAATTTAACATTACTCCTAAAACTCATACAATCTAGAAAGTACAAGAAAAAACGCAGCAGCTCTTTTAATACTTCATTTAGAAAGAAATAGCCAGTCAAAGCAAAACAAATCATTCAAAAGACATGTCACTATGCCTGTCTTTATTCTGAAAAACCATAACAAGTTATGCTTGATTAAAATTATAAATTTGGTTAATGATGTTTGAAAATAGGCAATATGAAATTTGTCAGTAAAAACAATTGAAATACAATCACTTCAAAATAAAACCTTTATGAATAAGAAGTAAAGTTTAATGAGCAGTTCCAGAGTAAAAATTGAGTCAGGCTTGTTTAGGTGAGGTTGGGACTCTCCTTTAGCATGGGAATTGCACTGCTTATAATCACAATTGAAATACAGGTAGCATATGTATTCACATGGATACAGTCAATATGTAGAGACAAGATGTATTTTTAAATGCATTGCATATAATTAAAGACATACAAATGATGCAAGTAATAGAAATTTAAGTCAGGAACTGCAGTTTGTTACACTACTTCATTAAAGGAGAATGTAATTAATGTAACATGTTGCTTTGTACCGGTCATACTGTTCATAATGTTAATGTAAATTAGTCAAACATTATAGAAAGTAAAACAATTGTCTGTAAGCGGCAACATAGCACAAACTAGTAGTAAGAATATTGTATTATTAATCTGTTTCTGCAAGAACCTTAGTGGCCATATCATCAGCGGAAGGGAAATCATCTGGGGTATTTTTCTAATTAATATAATCAAATAAAACATTTTCACCGTAACTCTGTTATCAGATGAACTATGATACTTTTGTCTCTCTGTGTGTGAAATGTTGTGACTCTGTGTTGAGCTGCTAGTGACCAATGACGGGTTGCTCCTGCTTCTGCATTCACACCTCTCCACAAAGACAGCCATGCTGAGATAGAACAAACAGTACAACTACAGCTTTCTTCACATCAAACAATCCTGTACAATTAACACACAGTAAAAATACTTTTATAAATGTTGGCCTTTTGCTTACTTACAAAGTTGAAAAAAGCAGTTTACTTCTGGTTTTATAAATTACATTTCCACTGAAAAATAGGAATATAGCATTACTGAATATAAAAAAAATACATACTGCAAAATTTGAAGGCCAAAACAGGCATAAATTGCATGTTATGGCTCCTGTGAAAAGAGGTTAATTAAACTTTTAGGCTTTTTAGTCTGTGTCTAATCTTAATATTTTATGTTATGTTTATGTTTTCAACCACTACATCTTTGAGTTACTGAAAGGTGGAAATTATTAGAATTGAATCATTACTGTTGTTAGTATCATTATTGTTGTTGTTGTTATTGTTGTGTAGTCATATTTGAGTCTAGACCTCTAAGATTAAGTTTACAGGACTTCATAAGGTTCTGAGACAGATAATCTCTGTAAGTGATTTATTGTTGTTTGGCTTTCAGTGTGAGATTACTAGCAGTATAATTATCTATATCTATGTATACTTCAGATCCAGTGGAGGCTCCAGTCCTGACTCACCAGCTAAGCAGAGACACCTGTAACATCACTCTCACCTGTAGAGGTCATGACCTCTCTATCAACTCCAGCTGTTACAAGGAAACCTGCAAGAAGAAGGAAGTGACATCACCTGAAGACATCACCCTTTCCCTGTCTGTCAGTGGGAGCACCATCATTTGTAACCATAGCAACCCAGTCGGCTGGAAGAAGGATGTTTTGGAGATGAGAGAACTTAAACGACACTGTGCCGATGAAGGTGTGCACTCACATGCTGAAACACAAACACATTTGATTATTTAAACCCAATCTATACTGATGTTGTAAGATTAATAACAATCCTTCCCGGCAGGCTTAAACTGGCTTTGGCTTCTTGCGGTGGCAGTGGGATTCTTCGTTCTAATTGTTATCATCATCATTTTTTTATATCGTTGCCAGAAGAGATCAACAGGTATGGTCTTGTTTAATTTAAAATGCATGTTCAATTTGAATGTAAACATTTCTCATTTTTCTTTACATACTCTTTTGTATATAAATTGTTGCTGTGAGAGCTATCACAATAGAATGCAATCAGAGCACATTTTAACCCTCGATTTGTAGGACGTCTAAATTCTGCCACATTATGTGGCTTTCTAAATGTTAATTTAGGCCAGAAGGAATTGTATTAGTGTAAATGTAACTCCCACACCCCCCAGTTTTTTTTTAGCTGAATAGATAGATAGAGCCCATACAAGATGGCCGGCTCACTGAAATATTGAAAAGTTATTTTTAGCTCCAGAACCACCTTGATTTAGTTTACAAAATGGGCCAGGCCTTGCAAATGTAGTGTGGTTTAGCACTATTGTATTTATAGTACTTTTAAGTTTATTTCTTAGTGTTAAATTAGTTAAAGCAGCACTAGAAAGAAATCATTACATTAATATGAAAAAATAGACATAAATATTGGGGTAGATTTACTACCATTTTGCCCCATTGCAAACTCCATTTTGGTGTTAAAAAGTGTCTGTTGTGGTTTACTAAACAGTCGCAATGGTGCTTCAGCCTGCATGATAAGATGAAGGTCGTTGCTATTTGGCGCTTTTGCTTCCTTGCGCATGCATTTACAGAAGTTTCCCTCTCAAAGTCCAAAATACTGGAAGGAGATTACTGTGATTTAACACCTACTCCCATTAACCTAGACTGTTAGTAAATACTGAATATGTGCTACTTAACATATGAAAAAAGCTTGCCTTATTCCTGGCCCAATAACATGGCTGCGATTGTGGTCAGAGAGAAATAGACATTTTTTCAAACATATTTATTTATTTACTTACTTACTTATGTATTTATTCCTTTCATTTTTCCCTGATTTTCTCCCCAATTTAGTTGTCTCCAATTCCACCCCCTAGTTAGGACTCCCCCAATCACACAATACTACTAGCACTAGGAGGACGAGGGCAAGCACAGGCTTCCTCCGAGACCTGTGAAGTGCCACCACATTTTTCTAACTGCCGCTCAAAAAACGTCATTGGACAGCCGAACGCTCTCGGAGGAAAGAGCCAACCGCCAGATCTGTTACAACAGCTAACAGATGGGGGGAGAAAGGGGGGCCATCCTACACATCCAGAGAGCGAGGCCGATTGTGCTCTCTCGGACTCCCGGCTACAGATGGCTGTAGCATCACCAGGGATCGAACTCGCAATCTCCTTATGACAGGGCCAAAGCTTAGACAGTTGCACCACTCGGGAGACCCCAAACACATTTATTCATTTTTAATGGAAAACACTTTATAGACTTATTATTTTTAATTTGATGAAGGAAATAAAAACAAATACTTTTAGAAAAGCTATGTTTTAAACTGTCATTTCCTAATATTTTGGGTATATTTTATAACACTATAAAAGAGCAGGTTTTGCCTAAATAATGATCTGACAGTTTTTCCAAATTAATGTTAAAAGCACATTAAAATCTTTCGCTCTGAAATCCCTGCTTTACTAAAGCTACTCCTTACTATGTATTCCTGCATGCTGTTGCTTTTGTGCAATGTGGTTTTGTGCTCTGCAGCAGCCATTCTTTGACACATTACATGTGGTTAAGAGGTTACGCTCAAAATCATACAGTTCTTAAATGACCTGAGTGCACTTTTTAAAATATTGCACAGTTTCTAGAAGTGAACTTAACACGGAAGTAAAGTTCAGCCTATCCCACCAGCTGAAAATGAATGTTTCAAAGCATAGAATAAAAAGTATTTATTTAATTTCCTCTAATCTCTAATTAATTAATGTCTTATTTTCTCAAAATAATTACTGTTGCGTTGAAATGATTTCATAGAAAAAGTTCTTAAGCTTAGAATTGTAAGGTTCTATCTGTATTCAGTGCAGTTTCGAGACACTGATGATCAAAGATTTCATTTTCAAAGTAGTTTACAAACTTTCAAACCTTAATAAAGTAATTTTGGCCATTGAGCATAAAATCCTAGTATATTTAGAAACAGATCTTCAGAATGGATCAAATATAAATGGAATTTTTTAATTGTCAGAGCTCTTATTTTTTAAAAAAATCATATTTATAATCTGTGAGTAAACCCAAATAGAAATAGAAACTTCACCAGATTGTTTCAGATATAAACTTTCTTGTCAAATACTTTAAATCCATTCATTCATGAAATGTATTTTCGTGAGTTTTAGTCTGGTAGGTACATTTATAGGCATCTGACGGCATGTATAAAATATAATAATAACAACAATGTCTTTATTTATAGAGCACCTTTCATACCTGTGGCTGCTTAAAGTGCTTTAAAGACAGGTGATAAAGCTGAACAGTAATAGCAAAAACTATAAGTACTAATTTGAAATCATATAAGACACTGATCAAATAAAAAAAAGTCTGATAAAGGTGAAACTGAGTTCCACAGTTTAGAAGCATAATAACTGAACGAGTCTCTCCATATTTTCTGTATTTTACAGAAGGTATTTGCAGAAGGTTACTATCTGCAGATCTAAGACGACATGTTGAAACAAACAGACAGGCACTCTGTCTGATGAAAGCAGGAGCTTTAAGGTCATTTACAGCCTTAAAAACTAGTGGCAGAAAATTAAAATCTATCCTGAATGATACAGGTAGCCAGTGCAGTTCTTTCAAAACGGGAGTGATGTGATCTCTCTTTTTTGTTTCTGTTAGGATGCGCGCTGCTGTATTTTGTACAAGTTGTAAATGATGTATTGTTTTCTTAGGAAGTCCATTAAGAAGAGTATTACAGTACTTAACTCTGTTTGTAACAAATGCATGAACAAGTTTCTCCGCTCTGAAACAGAAAAGGCTGAATTTCACTGGTATTTTCTCAAATGATAAAAAGTTACTTTAGTGACTGCGTTTACATGCAGGATAAAACAGAGCATAAAAAAGAGAAGACGCCGAGGAATAACAATACAGTGCTTTGCTTTGCAAGCACTATAATTACTTGGTCAGTTGGCCTTCAACTTACCGTTTATCACAATCAATATTTCAATATTTACTAAAAAAAATTTTATCTTAACCTGTTTTCTTAGCCAAGTTAGTAAACCCTGTAAACATCTTAGTGTTGAGTATGAGTATATGAACATCGAATTTAAGTAAAAAATGAGTACTTTGGTTTTCCCACATTTGTCAACTACACTGATTAGACCACAGATGGAACCTTATACCACCAACGTACTATACAGAGTTAGGCAAAATACTTAAAAAAAAGTAATTATGTCTGAATACTGAATGCACTAAATGTATTCAGTGATTTATTATGTTAAAATATATAAAAAAGTAACATATTAATTTATGCATTACACATTTAGAGCACTGGAAAACTGCTGTCTATTTAATTTACACCCTTCACTTAATTTAAACTTCTGTTAATGTGTTTCATGAAAATTAGCTCTTGTTGTTTGAATGAAATTCAGAAATCCAAACCCTTTTTGTCTCTTATCGCCTGCCTCAGTCAACTGTTGCTCCCATAATCCTCCAAGCAGAACTGCCACCTGTTTCATAAACGTATATCCTAATAACAAAATCTTGCACATTTCACTATAAAGAGGAAAGCTATATGATTTTCAATTAATGACATGTATATAACATGCCACAAAACATATGCACAAGTCCAGTAAAACATTGATGCTATGTTTGCTAAGGACACTGCTCAGTTCCATTTTTTCCTTTAAAAACCTCAGTAATACTACGATAAATAACACACACTGTCACACTGATTTATCAGTCTACTCAGGCTTTAGCAGGAACCTCAGTGTTTGCAAAGAGTGTGTTTGTTGAGTTCCTCTTTAGGGGAACTACAAACCATGCACTAAATTTAAAATAATACATGAACAACCACTTTATTTTAACAATTAAATTTTTTTAATGTTTTGGGTAAGTGCTCTTATTCTAAACATTTTGATAGTAATCACATACTGAAAACTGCCCTTGTCAGTCTGATACTTCATTTCTGTATTCTGACTATATACACCTAAAACTTGTATTCTGTTACATCCCAATCCTGTTAGTATATGATTTTCATAAAGGGACCTTTATTTTTTCTATTTTATTGTAGACTCTACAATGTCCCTCAAACATTGTATCACATAATACTCCACAATAAATTATTAGTTTTTAAGTTTAAGTAATGTGCTCAGACTACAGGTAGTGGGAGTAATGTTCTCATACTGAACTTTCATAGACTTTCATTGTGTTTGTATGTGTAGTAACTGTGTGTGAGAGACCCCATTTAGCCATAAAATAATAAGATTGTGTTTGTAAAGAAAATCGTTGTGAAAGGTTTTAATGGTAGAAATGTACTATATGAGTATCAGTGAATTTATACAGTTTGGAGGCTGTGATTATTAGTAACTCTTAATATGATTAAGTGTTACTGTCATTAAAGGTTGACACTTAGATTTTATTATGTAATAGTATATGTCTGGTTCTTTGTATGCTGAGGCTGTTTATTTTTGTTTAGGGCCAGTATATTTTTGTTTTGTAGGGATGAGTGGACTGGGTGGATGTACATTTCTTTCCCAGAACCCTCAGGTTTACAAGTAGTCAATTTCAGAAAACAAGCAGACAAAGAAAACAAGAATATGTCCATACTCATAAACAAAATCTTGTTTATGAGTATGCAAGAAGATCTAGGTGAGGTGAAAAACACAGAAACACACGCAACAAAACAAATGAGTTATAGGTGTTCATAATAGACTCAGGACAGGGCTGAATCTGGCCTGGTCAGGATCGTACAGGAACTGTGAAGCAGTATGGAATGGTGTGTTATGCTGAAGCCCCCCTTTACTCCTTGTTTTTACTATTTGTGAAAAGTCTGTTATAGTAATTAATCATGTAACACAAACTATGCATCAGTAATAATAGCTGTATTGCAGTTAGACAAAATAGCTTTGGACATTTAATATTGTGCCTACAGTTACTTTTCAACTGTGACTTGAAGGGTTAATTTTTCATTTTCCATTCAAAACTGCATAGGTCCGATACAGTGCGAGAACACAGTCTATGCAGAAGTTGAGGTAAGATTTATATAATTCTTATTCCTGTAGACATTAAATTCTGTGAGTACTTAAATTGATGGATTTAAGGTTTATATTGTTGTATATTGGAAGGTAACATGAAACACAGCGTTTTATAATTTGATAAAGATGATAATGATGATAATCATGTTTACAGAGAAATGGTGCAGCATCACCACCTATCGCGCTGGAGAGCCCTTCTACTGTGTACAGTGTTGTAGGGAAGAAACCACAACCTACAAGTAATGGACAGTCTAGTCAGACTCCAGTTCCTGAAAATGAGGTAAAAATGGCCAGTATATACCAAAAAGTTGTCATTGAAATTGACTTCTGGTAGATCATTTATAAAAAGTTATTTTGATAATTCTACGAGAGCCAGATTTGTTTAATGCAGTTGGAGCTGTGAAAAGTGATACAGTTAAAACTAGAGGAAAATATCTGTGCAATCGTTTTATTCACAGTCTAAAAGGCCTGATTAGAGCTGCAGTGTAGAAAAAGCTGTCTGCTTTGTGAAGGATGGATATAAGCCTATATATTGTTTGCATCAGCAGTTTCTCTCACTCAAACTTAGACGTTTATTGGAGGATTACACAAAAAATGGGCGGTGACCACTAGTGTATAATAATAATATATTATATACATATGAGAAATTCTATATATATATATATGAGAAATTATAGTAGAAATATGTATAAATAAATATACTTTTATTGATCCTACAAGGGAAACTTGTCGTTTTGCTGCCTAACTACACAGCACAACATCAGCGGCAGAGCAGTGGGGAGTTAAGTGATTTAAGTGCTTTGTCTAAGCGCACAACCAGAAATGTCCAATCAGTCTTGGGATTTGAATCTCTCTTACCACTAGACTACCATCCAACCTTCAGTTTTTTTCAGATCTGAAGTAAGAGTGGAGCTTGATTTTCTCTTGTCTCTCAAACATGAAAGCTATAAGTGCTGTTCACATGATGTTTTGGTATCTACCAGGTCTTGCACGGTTATGGGAAGTCCTATTTCCCATTTTGTAACTTATAATCATTTTTTGACCTCCAGTTTTGGAAACTCTAGTTATTTCTACTCTAGTAGTAAGGAACGTACACATGTAGTAGCTTTGAATCATACTGGGTTATTGCAAATACCATTTTTATTCATCATATGTTGTATCATTTCTTCAAAAAACTTGCAGCAGTCGACCTCAGCGGATATCACTGTTCCTAACACCTATGAATCAGTTCCAGATCAGGTAAGAAGAACTAAAAGCCCGTTCATTCAGTTAAAGAGCTTGTGTATAGAAACTTCAATGTTGTTATCCATACAAGGATTTGTGGTACTTTTGTTGAAAAAACTTGCAAATGTGCTTTATGTAATGACAATTCTTTTATTTCATTATGGATCTGCAAACTCGAATGCATTTCCATTAATGTTAATTAATTGATTTAATAATTTGTACTTTTTTCTTTCTCCTTTTTATCATATAGATGCAACTTATGAAACCTGAAACCATTTATGCTACAGTTTCAAAACCCAGCAAAGCAAAACCCAGCAAAGCTGTGAATCAAGCAAAATAGGATGAAGCCGCATCAGATATGAGGAGTTAAAGCCCCTCTTGATCTACACAGTTGGCTAAGAAGGTCATCTCATGGAAGTCCACAAAAGTACATCTGGCCCTTGTCTAAGTCGGAAAGATGGCTTTGGCCCACTGCTGATCACAGTCAGATACAAGTTTCACAATATAAACGGAATAGTCTCATCCTATATCTAATTTGAAAATATACTGATATACTGCAAAAAGTTGATACACCGCCAAGCCCTATAACACACCACTCCACTACCAGTAGTTAGCTAATGTTGGGTAGTTAGCGTCACTGACTACATTGACATTAATATCAAAACAGTGGAAACAAAACAGGAGGAAAATCCATATGCAAGTAGTGTTTTTTTTAAATCACTCTTATTCGATGGTCCATTTACACAAGTAATAGATTGGGGTGAAATACACTATATTTCCAAAAGTATTCGATCATCTGCCTTCACACACATATGAACTTGAGTGACATCCCATTCTTAATCCATAGGGTTTAATATGATGTCGGCCCACCCTTTGCAGCTATAACAGCTTCAACTCTTCTGGGAAGGCTTTCCACAAGGTTTAGGAGTGTGTTTATGGGAATTTTTGACCATTTTGGACCTTGCTTTGTACACTGGTGCGCAGTCATGTTGGAACAGGAAGGGGCCGTCCCCAAACTGTTCCCACAAAGTTGGGAGCATGAAATTGTTCAAAATCTCTTGGTCTGCTGAAGCATTAAGAGTTCCTTTCACTGGAACTAAGGGGCCGAGCCCAACTCCTGAAAAACAACCCCACACCATAATCCCCCCTCCACCAAACTTTACACTTGGCACAATGCAGTCAGACAAGTACCATTCACCTGGCCACCACTAAACCTAGACTCGTCCATCGGATTGCCAGACGGAAAAGCGTGATTCGTCACTCCAGAGAACACGTCTCCACTGCTCTAGAGTCCATTGGAGACGCTTTACACCACTGCATTCGATGCTTTGCATTGCGCTTGGTGATGTAAGGCTTGGATGCAGCTGCTCGGCCATGGAAACCCATTCCATGAAGCTCTCTACGCTGTTCTTGAGCTAAACTGAAGGCCACATGAAGTTTGGAGGTCTGTAGCGATTGACTCTGCAGAAAGTTGCTGACCTCTGCACTATGCACCTCAGTATCCGCTGACCATGCGCTGACCATTTTATGTGGCCGACCACTTTGTGGCTGAGTTGCTGTCGTTACCAATCACTTCCACTTTGTTATAATACCACTGACAGTTGACTGTGGAATATTTAGTAGCGAGAAAATTTCACGACTGGACTTGTTGCACAGGTGGCATCCTATCACAGTACCACGCTGGAATTCACTGAGCTCCTGAGAGCGACCCATTCTTTCACTAATGTTTGTAGAAGCAGTCTGCAGGCCTAGGTGCTTGGTTTTATGCACCTGTGGCCATGGAAGTGATTGGAACACCTGAATTCAATGATTTGGATGGGTGAGTGAATACTTTTGGCAATATAGTGTATGATTGGTGAATTAATAAAACTGAGCACATAGGAAATAATGTAATGAACAAGGAAAAACTAACCAAAGAGTTGTAAATTACTAATTGTGAATTATATTTATCACATTTAAGATAACTGCACAAGCATAAAAAAGCACATGTATCCCCCTTTGAAACTCATTCCTTAGCAATTTATACAACAAAGCTCAACACATGCAGAAAGTGTAAAACACAGTGATATCCAAGTAATTAAATGTTATCCATATCAAACACAAAAACAAATACTATACATTTTTCACAAGTATTTTTTGAGAGAGAATTGGTTCTTCATAGACATTTTTGTGACTTTTCCATGGTCATAGTACTCAGAGGTTTAAGGTTATAAACATAAAACAAAACAAACCTTTATTTCACAATAGAAATGGCAGAAAATATTCATTTCAAAAGGTTTTTTTGGGCTAAGTTAGTATTTTAAAAAATATGTTGCTTTACACTCAAGCAGTGAACCAAAATATGTGGTGTTGAGTGCAACTGCATATTATGTTGTAGTAAAGCATGTATATGTGCTGAACATGTTTGACTGAATGGAAATGTGTGGCATTCATACAATGATTTCTTCTTATTTGAGAGTAAGCATGTGTGTGCGTTGTTGTTTCAACACAATGCTCTAATAGAAATAACCCACAGCTTTGTATAATTTGTGCTCAATTTTTAGGTCAAAATAAACTTCCAGAAATGTACAGTCACTTCTTTATGCATAATCAGCCGTGTACTGTAGCCAGAAATCTCACATGTGCATTCAGGAGTGTTCAGAGCTGCACACACAAGATTAATAAGCTGGACACTTCAAAATTCATGGACGTGTGCAGAACATTAAACTCCCAGAAACATTGGTTTTCATGCAGTGATAGTATTTTCAGTTTTAGGCTCTGTAGGTAGTGTTTGGTAATGTAAATTCCTGCGAGGGTGCTTATGTGGTTTTCAGCGTTATGTTGGTGCAAAGCTAGTCCTACATATAAATTTTAAACTAGTATCAAACATTTTGAATGTTGTGTATAGCAGTTTGCAGTTATAGTGTTGCAGTTTTACAGTGAGTATGTTTACATATAATCATGAGAAACTAAGTATGATATCTGCCAAAAAATCCGTTTTTGGTAATAGGATTTCAGCTGCAAGAGAAAGGTGGCAGCGAATTACATAGTGTATCCTCAAAGAAAAACAAGTTCTCCAAAGAAGTAGATTAAAAGGAGAAATAAAAACATTAACTTTTTATGTAATTTAATGTAAAAAAGGTTTTATTTCATGTGATTTTGGAGTCCAATTATCATGAAATTTTCACATAATATAAAAGGTAGCTGCTGGGTTCAAATGATGTCTAAAAGTAAAAATGGACAAAATTGAAGAAATGTTTTTCTTTGGACAGTGACAATATCAATAATGCTATGTAGTAGATGTACAATGCTTTGTTAGTGTTACCTAGCGATGGAAAATTGCAGTTGCAGTAAGTATGCTACTATATGCTAGTATTTGCACAGTACAAGTTCTTTTCTTCATATATCCCAGCTTAGAAAGCTGGAGTCAGGGTGCAGGGTCAGCCATGATGCAGTGCCTTGCACTTTGGTCCAACAGTGACAACTTAGCAGCATGCTTGGCACATCCTCACACAAGAGAGCTACAAAGCAAAAAACTTACCACTTTGAAATGTCCTGCTCTAGTCTAGTTTGGGAAGGTGGACTGGGTCTACTAATCTGTTCGACTTTTAGGATCAGACTCGGGTACAAACTCATACAAAGAACCTAGGCCACTGTAAAAATAGCCACAGTGGTGTAGGGACAGAACTTGTAGCAGGATGCCACTCTGGCAGTTGACCAATCAGAACAGTGCAGGAAAGTTGAACCAATCAGTGCACACGGCACTTTTTGGAGGGGATCTTACACAGTAGCTCTATCAGAGCATTTCAGACAGTGGGTGAATGTAGATGTACAGTATGAAAAAAACAATGTGTTTTTAGAACATTAAAGCATGTGAATATATTCTAGTAGACACCAAAAATAAAATTATGGACACTGAAAATGAACATAATAGGACAGGGCCCACTATGTAACAGTCAAATTGTTTTGTTGATTTTCTGAGTGAAAGGAAGTTACCACATCCTCTACACAGAACACAGTAATGTACATTTTATTGCATGATTACTGTTCATTTGTTGAATTTAACGTACTGGGGAAAAAAAAAAAACATAAAATATAAAATGTGCCACATTTTTGCCCAATCTGTTTAATTGAGCAAATAAACAGTAAAACAGTAATTGTGCATTAAAATATGCTTAAGTGTGTTCTCAGTTGATACATTCACTTATTTGTCCCCACTATCCTCCCTTATTTATTTTTTTTCTTTTTTTTGTACTAGATGTATTTAGATTTTGAGGTAGACTGGATTCATATGTAAATATATACCATGGCTTAATTAAAAGTATGTTTTACCATGGTTTGTGTCATGTCTACATTATTGTTATATATATATATATATATATATATATATATATATATATATATATATATATATACAGTTGGACGAATTAATAGCAATTTTAATACTTCCTTTTAATACACATTCTTCAGAACAGATCATCACACACCATTCCAACTTACTACTGCAGAAATATACAGTCACTAATGCATAGTGAACTGGATAATCTATGCCATGTTAGACCCAAATGCACATCCATAACATCAATAATAAACTGGGTATGTTAACCCTGATGACTACAAGTGACACAGATGGGCAGGGCAACAGCCTACACTCAACAGGAGTGGCTAAAATGTGTTTTAATCCATGGTTTGGATGTGAGAAGTTAGGCATGTTCAAATTTCAGCTGCATTATCAAATAATGCAGTTTATCAATTTTAGATACTTTTTAAAACAAATAATGACAAACCAGCTAAAATTTTGTCTAACAAAGCACCTTTCCCCAGCCAAATCCAGCCAAAATCTGCCTAATTAGGTGGTAACCCCCACAATCTAACAACACTGAATCAGGTTTTTTTTACTTAAAAGTTGAATTATTTGTCATTTGTTTGTTGTTGTCCAAAAGGAACTGTCTTGGCTTGTCCTGGTTGCCTAAAGACTACTTAAAGACCTCCACAGACCCTTGATGCTGAACATCTAAGAGTGAAGTGTAGGAGTCATGGAGAATGGGGGGATAATGGTGAGAGTGGAGTGCAGTAGCAAGAAGGGAGCAGTTTCATGCAACGACTTCTCTCTATATAGGCAGCTAAAGATTTCAGAGCTTTGGGGAATTTTAAGTTTGGGGGAAATTCAGACATGCGTCAGTCACTCTCAGACAGAAACTAGTGTGGCCATGTTTAATTTTATCTGGAGAACTCTCTCTCTCTCTCTCTCTCTCTCATATGCAGAACTTTGAACACCCCTCGTAAAATAACTTAAATATGGCATTTTCCTGAGTTCAACATATTGGGGAGACACAATTACATATAAATTGTGTTATAACTTTTGCACAGGTTACATTTCAACTTTTGTTTATTCCCAATCTATGCAAAAGTATGCAAATGTTTGAAGTCAAATTACAACCCCATTTCCAAAAAAGTTAAGACACCATGAAAAATGTAAATAAGAACAAAATGCAACGATGTACAAATATTTAAACACTATATTTCATTGAACATGCTTCAAAGACAACATATCAAATGTTAAAACTGAGAAATTTTATTGTTTTTTGAAAAATATATGCCCATTTTGAATTTGACACCAGCAAAAAAGTTGGGACAGGGGCAACAAAAGAAACACCTGGTAGTTAATTGGCAACAGGACAGTATTGTGATTGAGTATAAAAAGAGCACCTCAGAGAGGCTGGGTCTTTCAGAAGTAAAGATGAGGAGGGGTTCACCACTTTGTGAAAGACTGCATGATCAAATAGTGTTACAATTCCAGAATAACATTTCTCAATGTAAAATAGCAAATCACTTTTGCTTTTCATCATCTAGAGTACATAATATCATTA